GTGGTCAGATTAGCTGCCAAGCTCCCCTCGCAGTCCTCCGGTGTTGATTGACAGTGGCCCCCAGCAGAAGCCTCACTCTGAACAAAGCAGCTGTTTGTAGTGTATAGCAACGGAGTAGGAGAGAAGAAAGAGCAGACTTACTGCCCCGCTGTGTGTGACATCAACACCCCTTAGTAAACCGACAAGCCCCTCGCTATTTGGAAGAAAGGCTGTTGGGGTCACATGACCATGTTTCATGTTACAAAATGAATATGGACGTAACATGAAATATCAGAAAAGTAAACTTATCTATTAAACATTTGTTTCTAATTGAACTGAATGGGTTGCACTGTACAGTTCAACATTTGTAACCATTATCCTAAGTTTCACTTTCCTGTTACTTCTTTTTCATTTCCTTATCAGATGGTAAAGAACAACACCCACACATTTTGCAAAACATGTCATTGTTACATAAACAAAGCAAAAAATCACATATTTAAAGGAAACCAATGATTAACAGTTTTATGTTAAGCTACCTTTAAATAACGATTTATATAATATATTTGTAAAATTAAAACAGACTTATCACCTTCCCACAGCAGCAAATTAACCTAGATCTGAACAGCCAAATTAAATGTGTGATACACTTACTGTGTGTCTCTAACTTCTATTTATGCATCTTTTTACAGATCTACATTAATATGCCATTATGTAGACAGATATATGTTTGAAGTGAGTGCAGCCAGTCTATTTACTGTTACAAAGCTTGCTAATTTGGTTTTTGTGGCCTGCCTAGCAATACTAGTACTGGACCCAGATGTTCTATTGGCTTTGGATGGCCGCATGCACTTTAGTGTAACAGTTCTTAACATTACATTTCATTACAGAGAATAGGGGCAGGATTATACAGATTATGGGACAGTAAATGTACACTAAAATTCAGCTTTTACTCAGACTGAAGTAGATTTCCTATATGTTCATGGTAAGTCCGCTATAAATCTGCATTTTGGCTTATAGCATTATCAGGTTAATGCAATAAAGCAATGATATCATAAAAACAGTTGCCATTCTAAGCAACCTAAAGCTGGTGATACACTGGTAGATTTTCATATGAACTTTCATTAAAAAAAAAAAAAAAAAAATTCACATCAGAACATTTGCTATTGCCATCAGAGACTTGACGAATGTTGTTGGAAATTTGGTTTGCTTTTAACATTTGATTTTGGAATAAATAGAATTTTTCCAAACAAAAAAAAAAAAAAATGTAATTGTTAGAATTTCATTAATTCAAGAAAAAATGTCCATCCAGCTCCTTCATTTTTTTTCAATCCTAGATTTGACCCCATTAACTATTAGAAAATCGAACGAACGTTCCAAAAATGTTTTGTTTTTTTTCTAACAAAATATAACTCGTATATGGCCAGCTTAAGATATGACTTAATTGATATGACTGCAGTAAATTAAAATCGTGCTGTAAGCAACTGTATAGTATTACTGAATAAAATCTAGGTTATAATGTCCTTGTAGTAGAACCCTGATATCATTTTTTTTTATTTGTTATTAAGCTTAGCACACATGATATCCTTGGTCTTTAGAGCAGAACTCCCAATGTGACCTAAACTATAAGACACAAATACTTTGCCAGTACATTTCTCTCTCTTTGCCATGATAAAAAGTATGGGAGCTTTATGTTACTAGTTTCCTGGCTGCCAAACTAATCTCATGCGAGTGGTTTCAGTAGGCAGTGAGTCACTGACCAAGAACATACATGCAGCCAGTGTAGGCAGAGGTCTTGAGCTGCATGTTTGCTAAAGGTCGGTGACTCACTAAGTTTTCAAAGCCATAAAATGAGCACCCCAACCAGAAAAAAAGTGCCTTCTAAAAATAGTAGATCCCACATTTCTTTTATGAAAGGTTGCCACTGAAACGATATGAACTTAGTTAACTCTAAATTTATTTAAGTTATTTAATTTTAAAAAAGGTAATAACTTTAGCCAGGGTAATAAGGAATATTTACACATCTTGCCTTCTCAGTTTTCACCAACGGGTGGCACTTTAAGCTAGTTTCAAGTGTTTTCAAATGTATTACTTCCCATTGAAAAAGGCTGGATGTCTATACTGCTCAAGTTTAGGCTGAAGTTTAAACAAACAAGTTAAATAGTCACAGT